AGCTCCGCATTAGCCTGTATCAAAGCAGAGGCGGGTTTTGTCATTCGCCAAGAAGGGGGCTAAAAAGGTCTTAAAATGAAAAGGTCCGCATGTTTTTATTTATAAGTAACTTTCTTTTTTAATTTTTTGTACATTAGTATAATAATCAAGCTCATATACATATTGTTACATATAATAGTCAATTTTATTCGTCAGTATAGTTGTCCAATTTTGTATAATAGTCAATTTGCAAAAGAATATTTCTGAAAAAAAGTCCCAAGGAAGGAGAGGCTACTTCCGCATGCCCCCCCTCCCTCCCTAATACCTGCCACTGTATCAAAGAAATAAAAATAAAAACATTATACTCTCCAATCTAAGTAATTTGACGAAAATAGACTATATTTTAAGTTTTAAAACTGTAGGTCTAATAGGATTATGTTGATGCTACTTTTTTACAATATTTGTAAATAATGAACAATTTTTAATATAAGCATAAAAAAAATTTCCTTTGTACTTTTTTGGAATAAAAATAATATATTTTTTACAATAAATTGTAGTTTTTTCATCGGCATATATCAAATACTAAAACCCTAGACTGCATATATCAATTAGTAATACTCATTTCTTTTTTTAACGTATCAAACAATTAGTCAATGCCCAATTCTATTTTACTGCCTTATTAACTTCCCCAGAATTATTTTTCCAGATAAATAAAATATTAACTAAAAAAAAAAAGTTGAAAGAAACTTTTTTTGTTGTTGTTCAACCAATATAAGGAGAACGTGTTCTCACGGTTTTCTATTTCCTACCGGGGTCCGTACCTATATAGCAAAATCATATCCAAAAATATATAACTTTAAAGTATTAAATAATGCTGCCAACTTGAAAAATAAATTAAAACACCTCATACTTAATACCAACAATTATATCGACATGTATTAAACTTAACATTAAAATTTATACTAAAATATTTATGTGTATTACTGACTGTATATTGTTTAACCACTTTTGACTATATATAAAAATAAAATAGACTTTATTTAACCATTTAAAGAGGTACTCGATGATAAATCTTTATAGACTTCTACGAGTTTTCCTTAACAACAACATGTATATATCTGATGTACTAAAAAATTTATTGTCTTATTTTTATTCTTTTATTTTTTTTTTTAAATACTGGCAATTTTTATGATAAGAAACACTATTATTTTACGCTATACTTGTTAAACCAATTTTTATTATGCTATGTTATACGTGGTATTACTATCTTACATTTTTACGAGGGATTATATTATGTCATGTAGTTATAATGTAACGATGTGTAAATTTATTAAATTTGTAAAATAAAAAAAAAAAATAAAAAATAAAAAAAAATAAAAAAAAATAAAAAAATAAAAAAATGTGTCTCGTGAAATACCCAATCAATCGTCTACTAAATAGAGAGTTTTCTACCATTTGAAACTTTAATAGTTTTAAATATTACTTTTGAAAAGTTAACTACGCAATTTTGTTCTCTTCAATTTTAGTTTACCTAACTCAAAATAAAATAAAAACTCTCTTAATATAGTTATTTTATCTATGCCATACTTATATCTGAAATTAGACAAAAGGGTGATTTTATTAGAAATAAAATCATATATATTGAAAGGCTAAAAATTAAAGTTGCTCATTGACAACTTGTGAAACAAACTTGTGAGGAGAAGAGCATCACTGTTACAATTGATAGACGTTTAGGCAAGAAAAGTTTACAAGAGAGATGTTTAGGCAAGAAAGGTTTTTAACAGTTTTCAAAACTATGATTGTGTATATCATGTTAATGCAATTAATTCAGATATAAGCAGTTGGCTACTGGTTCAGTTTTATATAAAATTTTGATTTTACACCAAAACCAGTTTTGATGCTTAGGTTACTGACTTAACTGCACGTTAAACTGACTCAGATTTGTTTCGAAGAAATGTAAGCGCTAAAACCTCTCCAGATTCTTTTGCGTTCATCAGTTCAACAGATGAAACTCAAATTGTAGTAGGAGGTTCCACTTCAATTTGGCATATTTGAACAAGATCAATCCAGCAGTTACAATCAAAATCAATTTTCATTATTGTTTTAGGTTTAAGCTAGGAACAAATTCTTTATTTTTCTCATTTAGCTTCCTGATAATGAGTATTCGATCTATGGTTTTGTTGCGATTTACTTTCTCATCATCCATTATTATGCAATAAAGAAAATTCTCCTGTAAACAGCAAAATGACCTTTATATTTCTTTGGATCATTTTTGTTTTCTATCAAGTAGAATAATTACTTGTTAATGGCAATTCATTTTGGTGTAGTTGACATCCAACTTAATGTAGTTTTCTATTTATAAATTTTTTTAGCTTAACAACGAGACCATTATCTGTACCAGTATTTGAACTTGTATCGTCAAGAACGATACAAGTTCAAATACTGGTACAAGAGTTTCGGTGCTGTTGAACTCAGTTAGAACTTCTTTAGTTGCATTTGCTTTAGAAACTCCAGTTCATTTTCTAGTAATTTTATGTGTTAAATATTTTCTTTTTTTTGTTCCACTTTCTGCAGAAAATATGAGATGTGCTTCTTTTTCAGTTCCAGGTATTGTAATTGGCTCACCTTCTGAATTGTAAGCGATTGTGCGAACAAGCTTTTTTTTTATCTTTTTTATCATCAACTGCGATAACTTTTAATTGAAAAACTTCTTTACTATGGTCAATGTCAAGTTGTTCTACTATTCTAAACTTCTTACTAAAAACTTTCTTTTCTGTAATGATATTAGTTCTTTCAGCAGCTGTTACAATGCTATAGTCAATGAGTAATCCTGTACCTAAATGAGCAGCGGCATTCTTACTAATTCCATAACGTGTTGCTGCTTTTGCAAAGTTAGGCCAGTGTTTGTAATTATGTAAAGTAGACATCTCTTCATAAAAATCTGGATCATATTTACTTTCACCGTCATCACAACCATTATCATCAGAACAAGGATCATCACACTAAACAAAAATTAAATAAATTTGAATTAAACAATATACTGGTTAAACCAATTTAAATACCAATTTAAGACACTTCTTTCTAAATATTTAATTATACATACGAATCACAAATAAACAATATACATATGCCTATTTACCACTAAATTTGATTCTTCAAGACTTTCCACACAAGACTCTTGTTTATATAATGTTCCAATTACTTGTTTATTCTTTAATTTGATAAGTTCTTTTTGATCAATTTTGCCATTCTGAAATGACCCTTTTCCGTCCTTTTTAGCTCTTTGGTCTTTTAGGTACTCCCTTTTATTTAGTACCTAAATTAAAAAAAAAAAAGTAAATACTCCTAATGAAATATTTTTTGCTGTAATAAATGTCCTTAAAAAATTGATTTTTGTAGTCTAAAAATTTAGTTGCTAAATACCTTCTTTTCTTCATCACAATTGCATAATATATGCTTTTTAAAACAATCTTTAATGCCACATCTAACCAGTCTGCAGAAATGATTTAACTAATTTGTTAAATATTATTTACATTTTAGAACCAATTTGAAAAAAATTTAAAGTTAATAAAAATATTATTTAAATTTAAAACTCGATGAAAAAGTTTTTATTATACCTGTCATCACAATTAGCAACAGGTAGTTTACAATTACAAGCAGACATATCAAACAATGAATCAAAATTTTTCTCCAAATAAACAATGCTGGATTTGTTCCCTTTTGATTTTTTATGTTCAGAACATAAACTTTTTTTAAAAGTAACTCAAGTTTTTTCCTATACTTCTCTCGTTTAGGGGAGTTTAGAGTTCACTTTTCTCCATAGCTCAACAAGTTTAATGCTTATTTGAAAAACAATTTGTTGATCAGTTATTTTTTTGGGAATTAAGTTTGTAGCTGAACTGTATAACTTGTTTGAATGTGCGAAGGTTGCTAACAGGAAGATCATTTGGTAGTCCTGCAAACCGAGAACTTTTTTACAGATTTTTTAACATCTATATTAATATGTAGTAAATTATTATTTATACCAGAGGTCTAAAACCGGGTCAAACCGCACACTTAACATATATATATGTATATATATATATATATATATATATATATATATATATATATATATATATATATATATATATATATATATATATATATATATATATATATATATATATATATATATATATATATATATATATATATATATATATATATATATATATATATATATATATATATATATATATATATATATATATATATATATATATGATAGACAATTTTTATTTAAATTTTAGAAGTTTCATTCTTTAAAACAATCATGTTTTAAAACTATTTTGTCCCATAAAAGCTTTTTTACAAAATTTAACTTTATATGCCTATTAAGTTTGCTTTTAGCTTGATTGCTTTTTATCTAGATTATATTTCAAAATTAGTAGTTTCTAGAAAATAGCTTTAAAAATCAGAAATTTGTAAATAAAGTATGCAAACTATTACTTGAATTAACTGGAGTAGAACAAATAGTTACGTTGTACTTATCACCTTGTCAAAGTTAAAAAATAAAAAACTTAAAAAGCACAACTGTCAAGGAGCAGATGACAAATCAAAATCAACGTCAATTGAATAATGTTTGAATCGACAATATTTACAAGATATTATGAAAATTTACTTTCTGATTTCATACTTTTTAGTTTTAATTTATCGTTAGGACTATAAATTCTATTCTTATGCAGTGGTTACAGCGCTTGCTTTATGAGCAGAAGATCGAGGTTCGAAACGAGCTCTGGACATTTTCGTGTCACGTTAAGGAAAAGGCGTGAACTTTCTGGTTAAATGCACTTCCGCGGTGCTCTGTGACAAGATCTTTAGGTCTTTATGGGACACCTAAATAACAAAAATAAAAAAATAAAATTCTTGGGAAATTATAACTTGTGAAGTCAAAAATTACAGGGAAACCAAAACTTAAATGCATTAACTTTCTTGGGTCCCGCTTCACCGTGCTTGAATATTATTTACGTTTGGTCCGTTTTGTTACTACGTCTAACAAAATCCTGCGTTTTTCGTAGCATGGTATACAAAAGTAAAGCAAACTTTACCAAATGAAATGAGTGTTTTCATAAGCAGTAACCGCAAAAGTTTATTGGCTATATCAGTGAAAAATAGTTTAAAAATTATTGAGTTAGAGTAAGTAGGTTTTATTCACCCGAACTCTATGTTATTATTTGCATTAAAATATTTATTTTTACTTTTGTTAGATTTTAGTAAAACCAAACCAAACAAGTTATGGTAAAACTTTTTTTATATTTTAACTAACGATTTTCAAAAAAACTGCACTAAAACTATTATTTACCATTTAAAATTACCATTCAAAATAATAGGGTGTCTGACTGGAATTCTTTTCCTCATTTTCTTCGTAATGGTCTTTTGGCTGATATATTTTCTCTCTCTGTTGATAAATGCGCTTCTTATGTCACCTGGATCCAGGCAGGTATGGAAGCTTTCTTGTTTCTTTCATGTTGTTTCCAGAGTAAGTCTCATTTTGGTCCATAATTTTCATCTTGTGCAGCTGCTTTATGTAATTGTAATCATTTTTTTAATCTTTTTTTTTTCAAGAGATTTTTTCTTTTCGTGAAAAGAACCAATCTCTTGAGAACAAAAACCTTTTTATTACTGCAAAATATCAATGTTAAAAGGTGCTGTTTGATCCAAACTCCATTATTCTCAGCTGTACCTTATCTCAGAAATTAGATTCTAGAGATTAGGAGAAAAAGGTAGATCTAACATTCCATCTCTAATTCATGGTCTGATCTTATTACCTCTCCCAAGAATAAGGCATAACTATTTGCAAAGATCTAATAGCTATACTCGTCTTGCTATTTTAGTTAAACAGGTTAACCTTTTTAACTTATTTTTTTAACTTATACTTTTTAATTAATTAGACATCAAAATCATTCTGGCTTCTATTCCTAAAGTCGTTTTAATTAAACTCTTCCAAACAACATTCCTGTTATAGTAAATTTCTCAAATATTTCTCCAGAACTCTCTTTAGTGTTAATAATCCTTGAATAAATCTTTTTTTCCTGCCTGCTAGAAAATAGTGTCTGTGGTCTCAATTTTGGAAATTTTTGGAGAACATATTGACTCCTCCAGCTATTGTTTGATCAGTCTTCTCTAGGTCTATTGCTCTTGTTATATCAAATGCTTTCAATAAATTTTAAGATGCTGGTATTCTCCATAAGATTGTTTATCTGGGGAATTTTTTGAGATTGTTAAATCGTTTTATTCTAACTGCAAGTTTGTCCTTGAAAGCACTTCTTCATGTTTAGTCATTTCTGTAGTATTTCTATTCTATTGGAATGACAAATTTTGTTACAAAACTCTGTTTTGTAACAAAATTTGCTATACTCTCTTAAATTTTTAAAATTAAAAGTAAAAAATTGTTTAATTCGTAAAACTAAATGATCAAAATATCAAGTTTATTAAATTGATTGCTTAGAACACACATTATTTATTAACCTTTTTAGTCCCTATGACCCGCTAAGCCAATCATGACATTTTTTAGTTAATTTTTTAGTTATTTTTATTTATTTTTTTTAACATCTACGCTTCCAACAAGGCTGCATGTAATCACTAATTAGTGTTGGAAGTTACTGGAAGAGAAAAGTTGAAGATTATAGAGATAATGATTGACAGACGATTTAAAAGATTGCAAATTATATAAATCAGGAAAGCAAGATGAAGGCAGCGAATTCCAAAGAATTGATGTTTGAGGAAAAAAACTAGACGAATAAGAGTTTTTTAAGCACTTAGAAACTTCACAGAAAAAGGATAAGACTAAATTGAATGATGAGTTACACGAGAATGAATTTTAGTAGATGGCACAAGAAACATTAGCTCTTTAGAACAGTGCCCGTTATAGTAATTGTAGAAAAGAAAAAGAGAAGCAATATTACGACGATGTGGCAAAGGTTGAAGGTTGGCAACAAGAGAAATGCGTTTACAATGCGTTTTTGCACCTTGTCCAAAAAAGAAAGAGCATTGTTAGAAGACCCACTCCAGATATGGCAGCGGTATTTCATACAAGGCTGGATTTGAGATTTATAGAGATATCTGGAGTAAGAAAGTGTTAAGATTGATAAAGAGATGCAACCTTAATAGATGTTAATTTTTGCAACAGACTTGATACATGGATATATATATATATATATATATATATATATATATATATATATATATATATATATATATATATATATATATATATATATATATATATATATATATATCAAATTATGGATATATATCAACGGATTTGATACATTTTTAATAAGTATTAAATCCCATATATAAAAAGTAGCAGTAGTGTACCAATGACATAATAGTCACTAAAAACAAAAAGCAAGGTAAATATGACACCACAAGGTTCTATTCTCAATCATGCATTGTTTCTTATAATAATTTTCCTGACAATCTTTCATGTAAAGTGGCTCTATTTGTTTGTGACTCAACTTTATACTTCTGTCTTAGATATAGTCTTCACTTTTTGCTTAAAATAGACATCCAATCTTAAATCTGATCTCACTTTGTTAGAGTGTGAGGCTTGCAGTGGCATGTAAATTTTAACACCATTAAAACTCAGTTGTTTACAGCAAACATCTATGGCAATATTTTGAATGGTAATTCTCTCACTGAGTCCTAATGAATGTCAATCCTCTCACTGAGTCCTAATGAATGGCAATCCTCTTACTGAGTCCTCTACTTTTACTTCTTGGATTATCATTCACTACTGACCTCTTGTGAAAATCGTATATACAATCTATTGCAAAATTAGCATCTGCTAAGGTTAGGGTTGCCAGATGTTAGGCTTTTACAAAAGAGAATACAACGCCAAATCTGTAAAAATAATTTTTTTTACCATGTTCTCCGTTATAAAAGCTAGACATCTGGCAACCCTAGCTAAGATAGCTTCTCTTTATCAAGCTCCCCATTACCTTACTCCTGATCCATTCTTAACCTCTACAAATCCAGCCCCCAGATTTTTATGGTCGGCATTTGGCTTTTTTGTCAAAATTTTTTTTGCCAACCTTTAACAGTTTGAGGTAAGCAATTTTTTGACGAACTAATTTTTCCTGATTCCTAGGGTTGTAAATCTCTTATTTGTCCCTGCATGAAATATTGTTGTCGAATTTGGGCTTGTTCTTCTCGACAAGGTCCAAAACAAATTGTAAACATTGTTGGAAGGCGGAGCAGGTTTATTGAGCTACTCTCCCATCGTTGTAATTTATACTTTTATGATCACTGCTCAAATGAGCTATCAACTAAAATTACATCAACCAAAACTTATGACTTGTCATTCAACAAAGTTGCATTTTCTTACTGTATCTGTCTCTTCATATATATATATATATATATATATATATATATATATATATATATATATATATATATATATATATGCATACACACATACAGGCCTCGGCAGGAAGCGAGAGCTTTAGCTCTCGCTCTCGTCCAAACTCCCCTAAAACGGTTAACAGGAGCAATTTAAGGCTCTTGCAAAAGTATAATTTTTCTTTCGAAAGTATAATTATCGTTGTAATTGAAATAAAAAACAAAATTTCATTAAAAAAAAAATTAATTGCATAATATACTGCAATGCTTTTTAAAAGACACAGTTTTTGCAAAAAAAAATTAAAATTAAAATTGAACCTTAATTTAAATGAGGAGCAGCTTGCACAGCTCCCCAAGTTCGTTTTAGAAGAGCTTTTCACGGCTCTCGTGCTCATTTATTCCCGCCGAGGCCTGTTTATATATATATATATATATTTCATTGTGACATCAGATGTTATCTAAACACGCATCCATATATATATATATATATATATATATATATATATATATATATATATATATATATATATATATATATATATATATATATATATATATATATATATATATATATATAGTTAGTTAGTGCTAAACTGCGTGGATCTTATCCACAAGCTGAGGCGTTGTAACGTTCAGCTATAGCAGCCCAGTACTTTTTTTTTCTTTTTCTTTTGAATTAATATTTTCTTATTTTTCTTAAGCCATTTGTCTAAACTTGCTTTAAAACTATTCAAATTCTCGGAATCTACAACTTTTTCCGGAAGTTTGTTCCAAATTTGGCAAACTCTGTTTGTGAAGAAATGGATTCTGGAGCTAACCGATGCATGAAAGTCATTTATTTCGCAAGGAGTAAAACACTGCATTCTAATTTTATGTTTGAGACCTCTAATGGAAGAACACGGGCCATCTAATTTAATGCTTGACTTATAGACTGGTTTGACATTAAGATTGACAAATTCTAGATTGTTTAATATCTTATATAAATGAATAAGGTCTTCTCGTTTTCTTCTGAGATTTAAATTAATTAAATCTGTTTTAACTAGCCGTTTCTCATAACTTAGCATTCGGTTTGAGTATGGTTTTTTTGTGGCCCTACGTTGAACTCTTTCAAGCATTGAGATTTTGGCCACATTCAGAGGACTCCACGCTGGAGCCGCAAATTCAAGATGACGTTGCACATAAGTAGTATACAAAATTTTCCACATATAACAATCTCTACTTTCAAAGGCATTTTTCTCATATAACAATCTCTATTTTTAAAGGCGTTTGATGCTTTCACCTCATATCCGGTTGTACAAAGACACCTAGATCTCTTTCTAATACACTGTTTGAGAGGTTATAAATCATTCCATTTATATTCATTGTGTATGTTTTATCAATACCTCGAAAAACTTTCTGATTGCCGAATCTCATCACCTTACATTTTTTGCAGTTTAGTTCCATACCCCAATTGTTGCACCATTTTACAATGTTGTCAAGGTCGGTTTGTATTTCCGCTTGTTTATCAATGGAATCTTCTATGGCTATTATTTTGCTATCATCAGCATACATTTTAAATGTGTTTAGCACAACTTCTGGGAGGTCATTTATGAATAGCAGAAACAACATTGGACCCAAAACGGAACCCTGAGGCACACCACTGGTAACTGATACCCATTCTGAAACTGTATTACTAATAGTAACTCTTTGTTTCCTATTTGCTAGAAAACTTTCAATCCAGTTATATATTTTACCAGTTATACCATACGCTTTAATCTTTGTCAATAATCTTTTGTGTTCTACTTTATCAAAAG